CTTATCGTGTCCACATATAGTTGATGCACTGTTGCCTATGCTCGCGTCAGCTTTAACCTTCGCGTCTCGTATAATTACGCGCCCGGGTGGTCGGTTGAATGTAAGATTGGTTGGGTGCGAGAATGGGGGGTGTTGGGGTCGATTTGATGCAGGAAAATACAAAAAAATAGGATAACTAGACGCATTAAATTCACAACCTAAGTAGTGCTATATGCACACTCTAAGAAATCATCTGAAATTTATATGATTCCATCTAACAGTCTATTGCCATATCAGCTTGCACGATTCCGAGACTTGCCTCCTCTGATAAGGATGGCCTGAAGTTGACCTGCTACAAGTCAGCGAACTTGACACGCGCTCGGGTGGGGCTCAATTTGCCCCCTCCCCACCCACAAAGGCTTTGCGGTGCGCCGTAGACGCGCAACATTTTTCAGAGTTGTAGGGCATTAAAAAGCGGATTTTGCCGCACCAGAAATCATATGAGCCTTGCAAGGTCGCTGAGCTATGGCAGGTACCACTCAGACCATGGCTGTCAGTGAAGACAATTTCTAGTAAATCGTTTAATCTGATCCGACAGCGGATTGGTAGACGACGCCATACATCTCTGATATAGTTTCTTAGATAATGACGCAATTGCATTTGGAGTAACAACAAATCCATTGACCTTGGATTAGGTATGAAGGTCAGACAGACGCTAAAACCAGTCTGTTTTATACTGAAGACTTTGCTTTCCGGGTGGTTCATGATGTTCATTTCGGTATTTTTAGCGGGGACGACAACAGACATCTTCCTTGGACTTCTTAAAGGTCATGAAGGGCCATTGATCTAAAACGACCCAGATTAAGCTTTTGATTGTCTAAGAGCATACCGCCTAGCGTGATCCTTGACCCTTATAAAAATTCAAATATAAAAAGCCTCGTTGGTTTTTGGTCATCATGACCTTCCTAAAATCAAACAATGTAACTGATCTAAAATTGACATCCGTGAGTTTTTGCTTATAACAGGTATCTAAGCCCAAGGCAGTTGCATAAGGAGGTCTAAGGACATTTTGGACACCAACCTGAAGCTTGACGTTGTTTGACCTTATTTGACCTGAAGGCCATGATCAAGGAACCTAAAATTTTGACACAAGTGAGTTCACATACGGGTCAAACGATCCTGTGAATTTGGCGTTTTCATCCTTTAATTTTCATATCTCAGGGGCCCAAAATAACTCCCTTACCCCCCCCCCCCCCCCAACCAAGCGGGTCGTGTTCAGCCGGCTATCCGCGCGCGTGTTGAGAGACATACACGGTTTGTCCATATCAGAAGTTCGGCTATTTCACTGACTACTGTTATACAACGTTTGGCGTCGCTACACCCACCGTTTCCAAAGTTGTTCTGAAAACTTACAGGAGAAAATGTTATTCTGGAAAAAACATTTTCAACAGCAGTTGCGTTACGTAACAGAGTAAAGGACTGTGCCCACCTAAGCCTCCAGGGTACTTACTTAAGGCACGAAGCTCACGGGGAGGGCGCAAAATGACTGCTGTAGGCGGAGTGCTCCTAAAAACCCAAATCATTATCGCCATGGAACCTGCAGAGGCGTAATATACGCGCAACATCTAACTTGCTTAGCGAATATTTAAGCCTAGAGCATAATGCAAGACATTCATTTCCACAGCAAGTTACTTGATGCGATATTATACGGTGGTTTTTAAGACTGGAATTCTCATTTTTAGGGCTGAAACCCTTGTTTTCAAGATTCGAGCGTTCGCAAAATTAAAGTCTGTTCGAATCTTATCGGATCTTGCGAAGCCGAACCCTCAGCTCTATTTTATGCTCACTTCTTTTATCACTTCCTGTACAGCTTTCGTTTAGTGGTGACTCCAGCACCCTGGCCCTCGGTGAATAACTGGGGGGTATTACGGACAACGCCTTTATCTTATCTGAAGTTTCCTTACCGTCAGTGATCTATCAAATTCAAAACTAATGTATGAACAGCCTCATTCCATGTTTGGGTTAGTTTTTGAAAGGAAAAATATACCAAAACAGTTATGCAAAACCTAGGATGCTACTACAAGTTACATGCATCAATCAGACAGAATCTGTCCCCAGTATGAGATCCGGGCGGCGTGCAGGCATCTATGCAGCTCTGGCTCACATCACCGTCGCACTTCTCTCGTAGCTCTGGCTCATATCGGTACCACGCTCCTCTCGCAGCTCTGGCTCATATCTCTGTCAAGCTTCTCTCGCTCAGCATGTCCTCGCCGTTATATCTCCAGCAAGTTTTTCTTCGGAAAGCTGCGATTTCTTGTCTTAATATTGGTTCAGACACCATGGGAGAATTTCTTACTAACACATGTGTTTGTTGAACTGCATGTGAACCGCTGATGAGCTGCAATTCATTGTATTAAACATCTAATTACCGCGGTCACAAGCTGTGAGTTTGAGAAGCAGCAACAGATTGAACACACTTATGCACGCAATTATGAAGGTGATTGGCTCGAGTGGCGTACCTAGGATTTTACCTACGAGGTGTAGGGAGGCAGCCCCCACAGCACCCATGTCCATGTCAACATGGAAGTTGTCAATGTCCGCCACCGTTTCCCCATAACTTATATTCCCAAGGCCCAAACCCCGAGTTTCCTAGACGCTAAGAAGCCCCATCCACCAGTTGTTAACGCACCAAACTCACTTGAAAATTTACCAAAACGTTAGGCCTCAAAATTAGCAGGCGGCAATTTAATGGGAGTCGATGACTGCGTACCCTGTTTTTGACGTTAACACAAGCGCTTATCCGTTAACGAAGGAATGTGGCCCGTTTATTCACGGATTAAGGACTTAACGAATTCGTGTCCACCTGTGTTCAAATCGCGCCTGATGCGTGCCGACGGAAATATGTTTCTGTACGTACGCACGGCCTGTTTCTGCACTCTAGTTTAAATTCTAATGTCGTTCAGCCCGTGTAATCGGTCAGCATCAGGTCATTTGAGCTGTTTGCCCGTGTTCGTCCATCCCTCCGTCTGTCATGCCGTCTGTCCGTCCGTTCGTCCGTCCGTCCGTCTGTTTGCCTGTCTGTCTGTCTGTCTGTCTGTTTGCCTGTCTGTTTGTCTGGTTGCCTGTCCTTTCGTTCCTGTGTGTACGCGCACACCGCGTTCGTGCCTGGCCGCGCGTGATTGTACGCACGTATGCATGCATGTACTCATGTATTGATGCACGCATGCACGTTTATATGAATGTATGTATACAGGTGAGTATATATATATATATATATATATATATATATATATATATATATATATATATGCCGTATGGGTGTGGGTGGGTGTGGGTGAGTGTGTACAGGCATCGTGAATATCTGCATGTATGCATGCATGAATGTACGTGTGTAGGCAGGTAGATAGGTAGGTAGGTAGATAGTTGGGTAGGTAGGTATGTGCGTATGTATGTATGTATGTATGCACGCATATATCATGTATATGGACGGATGGATAGATGGATGGACGTATGGTTGGATGGTGTGATGGATGGATGGATGGATGGATGGATGGATGGATGGATGGATGGATGGATGGATGGATGCCTGCACTGTATGTGCTGTGGGCCCCTCATCTCTGGACGTCTCGTATATCGTATGTCTGCTATACCTTTTTCATTATTTCGTGTCGACCTATGATATGTGGATTTCAGGCTACTATCTCTGCCTGCTCTGTTAACATTTTCGTACACGTCTTTCTGTCCGCGCGGTCGGCAGCTTTGTCTCTGCCTGCACTGCATACACTGATTTCCCTTCCTCGCAGTCAGCGCCGTCTGCGCCGTGCGTCCCGCGTGTCTGCCGGCACTGTTCGTGCTGCCCCCCCCCCCCCCCCCTCCGTGGCCGTCTTCACCGCCCGCACCGTCTGCCGGCAGGCCGTGACGACGGTGTGCGTGCTCGCGCTGGCATCCTCGGCGCTGGCGGGCGACTCGAGGCGCGGCTGGCGGCGACGCCACAACAAGGACAAGCAAGAGCACCACCACTACCACCACATCGTGCACGACCACTACACCCCGTACGCCCGCGGCTACGGATATAAGCACGGGCACAGCGACCACCACCACGGCCGTGGCTACGACCGCGGCTACGGTGGCCACCACTACGACCGTGGCTACGACCGCGGCTACGGTGACCACTACTACGACTATGGATACGACCGCGGCTATGGCGGCTACCACGACCACAGCTATGACAGCCACGGGCACGCTTCGCGCGGGACGAGCGTGCACGAGTACGTGGATTACAAGCCGCGCGAGAAGGCCGAGTACGTGCTGGTCGTGCCGCTGGGCGACATCGGGTACAGCCTGGGCGGGCACAGCTCGCGCTCGAGCCACAAGCGTGCTCACCGCTCGGTGGACGCCGCGCCGGGCAGCTACGGCGAGACGGGAGCGCCTCGCGGCCGCATTCGGGGCCGTGTGTCCCGCTCGGTCGGCGGCGCGGAGGGGCGCCGTCGCCCGGAGGCACGCGCTGGCCGGCGGCCGAGCGCCGCGAGGTTGGACCTGCGACAGCCACGACGGCAGGGCGTGCTGGACGAGGATAAAATGTGGTAGACGCTGCGGAAAGACGCCGCGGAGGCGGCGGGGCAGGAAGTCGGGAATTGGCTCGAGTGAAATGGGTGCTTGCCGAGTCCACATATGTGCTGATGCGTGTGACTGTTGTGCGTGTTGCGCCCAGACTTCTCTTTTGCTCAGTTACTTGAGTTTGGTAGATCAAAAGAAAAATATACAAAGCGGGGAAGCGGTGTAAGCAAACAAGTGTTCGGAAGGGGTTTCACGCTCCTGTGGACATCCGCTGGCGTTTTACATGACCGCCTTTTTACATGTTCGTCTGTGCGAACTCTTCATGCAGTTCGTTCGGACTCAGGCTGACAGACAGTTGGTTAAACCAGACGACAAAAGCGTTTCACTGCTGCTGTGAACGATCGCGTAACATTTTTACCCAAGCAGCCCTGGTATGCTACGGCAGATTTTTTTAAACAATGTGAAGTAACTAGAAAGGATATATTTCCGAGCACTATCCAGTTCATTATCACACCCGCAAGCTTTGCAAGTTTCTTATGCCAATCTTCAACGTTTTACACACCATGATTACTAGGTAAGACTGGTTTCTGCAATGAACACTCGACTGAGCCTACCACAGGTTACAGGCGCCCACGTCATCGGCTTTAAACAAGTGCCGACGCTCTTGCGCAAACCGCGGGTCATCGTTGGAACTAATACTCGTGAAGCCCTCATAACAATCATGCACAACCGCGCGGTGAAACACAAGACTACAACAAAATAAATATGCTTCTTCAACAAAGTTTGTTTGTTCTGGCCATTCTCTGCGCCTTCATTTGGAATTAACCTCTCGTGTCAACTCTGCCCCGAGACGACACGGCGTGAGGGCAGGTGCTGAGTGTGATACAACCTCATCGTAACAGACGTTCTTTCAGCCAGAAGGCACCAACGTTGTCCAGCTTTTCACGGTTCGTCTGAAAGGTGCAAAAAACGAGATATCGTCATGATCCCTACCGTATGCTATTATACTATCATGTTGAACATTAAGAAAACTACCAACCGAGATGGATGAACCATTATTTATTCCCATCTTGACTTCGTAAGTTTGAGTGAAAAGCACTACTGTATTTCACGGAAACAAGACTGCTGCAAGCCCAGCACTTTCCCAGGTGCAGTACTTATATACATACATACATATATATATATATATATATATATATATATATATATATATATATATATATATATATATATATACATATATATATATATATATATATATAAACAAACAGCGCAAGCGTCCCTTCAAAGTTAAAGAAAAAAACTGAGCAGATTGCTTTCAGATTCCCCCATCTATTTGCACAAAATACTGTATGGAGCTAAGTTATCAGATGAAGGAAACAAGGAAACCGGGCGACACCCTTTTCCTCAGCTCCGGTCAAGATTATACGACCTTGCCTTTGCTCGTATTCCTTGCTATTCAGTGAATGCAACCTTGCATAATTCACTCACAGGAAGGGGCATCCTCGCCGTCGGTTTTCTCAGCTTCGGCAGCTTCCTCCGGCTCAGCGGGCGGAGCCTCGGGAGCTTCAGGAGCTTCAGGAGCTGCAGCCACCTCTTCGGGGAGGACTTCGGGGACGGACGGAATCTCTTCCGGGACTACCTCCGAGGAGGCAGGGAGCTCCTCAGGGGATTCTTCAGGGACGACAGGAACCTCTTCCGAGGACTCCTCTGGAGCAATGGCAGCCTCCTCAGGAGCGGTTTCTGGGAGACCGGAGACCTCAGGATTGTACTCGGGGTCTTCAGCTTCATTGGGGATCGTCTCGGAAGCTTCCGGGACAACTTCGGGATAAGCCTCAGCGGACTGGGAAACTTCTTCGGGCTTCTCGATCTTCAGACAGCGGTTAAGGAAAATCTGATTTCTCTGAGTAGCCTGGCAACAAAGGAATCATCGGTCAGGCTGACATGTGACAGACTGCACACAGACAGTCACTGGTGTGTATGTTGAGCGTGAGGAACAGCATGGCTGTCCCAGAATGCCGCGCGTCAATACTTGTGTAAAATTCGACATTGACTTCTAAACATCACGCCTGGTTCTTTAGCCCGTGCGCTATCAATACATCGTCGGGAGATGACTGGTCTTTTCGGGTGAAGCCTCCAGACAAGTTCAGCTGGACACAAATTGGGACTTGACGATCAAAAACTCGATCAAACTTTGACGATATGCCAAACTTCACAACCCTGTTTAACCACGACTTCTGGGGCTTGACGACAGCACTTCACCCCACCGCCCTCCCTCTCCAGGTACCTGGAAGTTGATAGAGGTGTGGAAGCTGGAGAAGCTGGAGCCGACGATGTGGTAATCGGGGTCAGCGGCAAACTCCAGCAGCTCGGCGGCCGCCCCATTGGAGCCCAGACCTTCTGTCAGACACTGCAGGCGACAGAGCGAAGCGTTTCGTCAGTGACGACATGGTCGCTTGGCCACATGGCCAAGGACAATCCCACCGAGCTAACCGAAATGTTCAAACTTCTGGGCTGTGGGCGATTCCATAAATAACGATGACAGGCTGCTTGGAGAAGCTTACGAAGATCTGAGCCGATTCAGGGTTCAGTGATTAGTCCGCATTTCCTCAAAGTCATCAGCAGAGTCGTCCACAATTCCACGAAGTCATCAGCAAAGTCGACCGCTCACCTTCTTGTAGTCGTCAGAGTACTGGCATTCGTTGGCCACGTTGAAGATGTCTCTGGACACCTCGAACTTCTTGTTGCTACACTTGGTCAAATCAATGTCTGCAAAGTAAAAGTTCACGGTCAAAACAACTTGATACCAGTATCACCACATGTCTTCGATTATCGGGTATGACCGTGCCCAACAGTGGGATAATCAAACCCACTTTCATGTCAATTTCTTCCATACATCACTATCTTGCTGACATCATTTTTTCGTGAAAGATGTTGGGGTCATTGCTACATCTCTTGCTATTCCCTTCCACACCTGTGCTTTTGCCATTCTCCACGATTAACAAAGTTAGTTGTCAGAGCATTTGATTGTTTTGCAGTAAAGATTATTGCCGTTGCAGTATTCCACGCGTGTTACTTGAGCGATCGATTCGTCGTGGTGAATATGTAAGGAAATCAGCCAAGAACATAGGAGTGTCAAAGCAATGAAATCAAAGTAGTGGACAATGATACTAAGACCGACTTTTATGCCGCGCAGACAGAATCAATTTGGTTGGTTCCGCAAGTCACCAGCGAGCAGCGGGAGCAAGACTTTGTAAGACATCTGCAAATAGCATGGGAAGTGGTCCTGGGCTTGTCTGACCGATGTGAGGCTGTCGGATTCGTTCCTCGACACATTCTAGCAAGCCGGCATGCTTTGCCAGAGAGTTCTCACCTGTGGGAGTCTGCGGCTCGGGCACGGCGGGCAGGAACGGGAACGGGAACGGGCCGCCGGGCCGGCCGGCGCCCGGAACGAGGGGCGCCTGCCCGCCGGCCGGCCGCTGGCTGGGGAACCGCTCGGCGATGTCCGGCACCGCCCCCGGCGCGTCCACCGGGAAGAAGGGCGCGAACAGATCACCGAAGTCGGGGAACTGGAACTGGAAGAACGGCCGTGCGGGGGCGAGGCCGCCCACCGGCCGGGCCGGAGCCAGACCCAGGGCCGGCTGAACGGGGGCGGGGCCTGGAACGTAGAGGCGCGGCGTTAGTGGCTGGCAACGCCGGCTCCGAGAATGCGGGGACGGAGGCCACTGTAGCAGAGACGTTCGGCCGAAGCGTCTGGGTAGTGATGACCTCAAGTTGCTAAAATCAGGAAGGGGCCTCATGGACTCCACGTAAAACTGAGGCAAAAAGGTTCGCTGTAAGAAAGACTAAAAAAGACTCGCTGACTTTTTGTTTAAGCCTTTACTGCGGCTTTAATGGCGCCTGACACACACCGTTGCCGTCCGGCGCTCAGCAAACTATGCGAGTTAACAACAAAAACGAACGTCGGCGCGCCAAGCATGACACAAACGTCATGGGTTCGGCTGCCACCAGGAGACTCCCCATGGCGGTAGATGAGAACCAGGACCAGAACCAGGCGCAGCCGGGCGGCGGGCCGAGCCAAGTGGCTGCCATGTTGCACCAATGGCGTGGAAACGGCTTAGGACAGCTCATGGGATACGTGTGAAGGATAAAAAAAGAGAGAGCGCAGAAAATAGCCGGCAGCGGCGGTGCGTGGGATGGGTTCAAATTTGGCAGGTATTTGCACGAAGATCACTGGCGGTTGAAGTACCAGGATAGGTCTTTAAGTCCGTGGAAACTAGCTTATGCCACTTTCCAGGTTGGACCGGTTTGACCCGTTTGATACCGGCACAATTTGTCAGAGACTCAGAAAGCCAAAGGGTTTTCATTCCAGAATCATGCATCATTAAATCGTAGCAATATTTTTATATGTTTTATTAGCTGGTCAAAACCAGCCGCCGGAATTTGCTTCAGCCAGTTACTGTCAATATTAGGTTAAACACTGGCAACAACGATGGAAAACGACAAATATAACCAGTTGATGCCAGCGGCGACATACGTTGCGAGGAAGCGACAGCACCAAATTGTACCATGCCGGAGATAGCCAGTTCGGGAGGGCACCGCTTTCAAAAAGGCGTTCTATTCACCAGCATGATGGTGAACACTAGAAAACACTGCAGCTGAGCTTATCCGTCGCCTGCAGCCTCTGGATCTCCGAGTCACTGACCTGACAAGTCGACACGGTCGGGGTCAATGGGGGCGCTCTCAGCCGTGCCGATGCTGTTAATCTCGTCCTTAGGGCAAAGTCGGAGCGACACCGTCCGCTTCTGGGTAAACTGAAACATAGCGGGGATCGCTGCATAATCCAACACCATCGCCGGGCCGAGCAAATGATACCGGTGACTTCATTCCAAAGGCAATCATAAGGAGGATTAATACGGAAATTTGCTGTTATGAAAAAAGTGATGGAATGTCCATTGAGGTAATGTTGGACGCAAATGTCGCGCCAAAGATTCAGGGATTTATTCATGTTACTTCAAACTTGGCTGAAATCGCCCTTTCCTTCTGACACAGCAAGATCCAGCTTGAAAACAAGATCGAGATCGAAATCGAAAAACGCCCACCGATGAATGACGTTCAACCCTGAATTAGATGTGGAGCTGCCATAAAACACAAAACGCAAGACGCGGCCAAGGACGCGCCTGATCCGGAGTTCACTCCACTAACGGGCCTGCACATCACGCCGCTCACCTCTCCGTTGACCAGAGCCAGCGAGATGGACGAGCTGAGGCTGGTCAGGGCGAACTGCAACACAGGGGGCGCGTCACGGTGCTGCAGGCGGGCTGAGCTCCGGGGCAACAGCGGGGCTGGTGTGGACGGCAGCGCGTCGGACATTGCATGTGCTTGAAGGGAACTGCGTAAGATGCAAAGTCCCAGCTGTAAAATGATTCTGTCCTGCGTACCACACAAATACTATCGCTTATATATGCATGTATATAAATACATACATCTGCATATATATATATATATATATATATATATATATATATATGACAACAAGAAATCGCACAGTGTTCAATAACAAACAATTATTTGTTGGAACCTGACAGCTTGCTTTGCTAACCGGGGATCTGAGCACATGTGAAGGCTGGTCTCAATCACGCACGCCATGCAGTTGGGACGAAACTCCAGTGTGAGCTCTGGGCCGTTGCAGCAGACAGTGAAGTGATAACTTTTGGTGATTACCCGGTAGCCTCACGAGCATGTTATGGCCGGCAAGGCTCCAAGACGGACCATATTTGCCCACAGCTGAACGATAGCCTTGCCGTTCCTAAGCCCAAGGCGGACCAGCAAACATTCCGGGACTGTTCAAACTTCCTGTAGATTTGAATGCTCTTGCCGGCCTTGAATCGCGCCCCGCTCACACAGCACCGTGCGCGTGTCGAGCCGTACCGCACACTCTGTTCAGTGTGCCATGTACGTTATCGAATGTCTGAATTCCCAAGTTTTGGCTCTTGGTTCACAGAGTTAACACAAGCGGCCCAGCCCAGGAGACATATAACACAAGCGGCCCAGCCCAGGAGTCATATAACACAAGCGGCCCAGCCCAGGAGTCATATAACACAAGCGGCCCAGCCCAGGAGACATATAACACAAGCGGCCCGACCCAGAAGACATATAACACAAGCGGCCCAGCCCAGGAGTCATATAACACAAGCGGCCCAGCCCAGGAGTCATAGCTGCTTGTCACGCCATCATCGTCACGCCATTGGCGCTATCCGCTTGTCACGCCATCATCGTCACACCATCGGCGTTATCCGTGACCGTGGCAATGGCCACCACTAGCGGCCATCGTCTGAGGCCGTGACAGCGCCATCGGCCACGGCCGTGATCCGTGACACGACGCCGACGGCGGCCGTTCACAGGCCGGAGCAAGGAGGACGCGTCCAACCGGCCATAAGCCTCGTGCTCTCGTGGCCGCATTTTTACCACCAGCACAACACTGGCGTGCTGCACATCTAGGAAATCGTGTTGAAGCATTGCGCGTGTGTTTTGCGTGAGCAGCAGAGGAGAACTGGCCTGCTGGTTAGCTCATTAGCGCTAACAACGAGCTATACTCATCAGATCGGGCATCATCAAGGCAAGTCGGGCCGGGCAAGTCAGGCAAGGCATTGGGGTATTCCATGATGTCAGGAGCTCATGCTGTTTTTGCATGATGGGATTGCGGCTACGTGCAAGCCCGGGACTGTCGGTTGAGTGACTTGCTGGCGCCTTTTTTAAAAAATCAGAACTGATTCTCACGGTCAACGACCAGGGCAAGGTGGCAGCTCTCACGGCAGGCGCGGCACCTCACGCGGAACGACTCGATGGTAACACGCCATCAGTCTCGGCTGATGCGGATGTGGGGGTCGTGCACATCGCCAGCTTGATTGTGAGAGTCTGGCCACGCTCTGCGCAGTGAAGCGCGCAGCGCATGTCCGCCAGGGCTGCTTCCGAGCCCTGGGAACGACGGAAGCGCGGTATCGATCCGGGAAAGAGTTCCCGCAACTTGGTTCGGTCATATCAGTTTATGCATGGAATAAAGTATGACTTCTCCATAACCCAGTGCTGTCGCGGATCGGGTCAAACCGTTTGGTATCAGTCAGTTCTGAGCACGACGTTCGCAGTCGGCATCCTTGGAATTGAAAAGCCCATTTTCCACAAAGGTTGCACGACCAGGTCCTGTTGAGGCAAATGATTCCAACCGTGCGCCAACCGAGCCCTGAGAATTCTATGTCGATTTGTTATGTGTTGATTTTTTTATGATCGCTATGCGTTGTGTGCCGAGCCCTGCCCTAGCTTCCACGGGCGTAACGAGGCCTAAAAGGTGAAAATCAGCTTTGGGTGATGTCAAATGTGCCACACGGACTCAGCAAAATATTTACCTCTTCCCTGTCGAGGAACTCTTTCGCCTCATCAGCGGAGGGGAGCAAACCCGCCACGATGCACTGAAACAGGCGACAGAGGTATGTTAAGGAAGCACTTTATGACCACCAACACTGGAGTGAAATCTGCCACGATGCCATGAAACAGGCCACAGAGGCATGTCAAGGAAGCACCTCATGACCCCCACACTGGGTTGAAATTTGCACGAAACCCGCTGCGGATGGTATCAGCAAACGATCTAGAACATTGGGAAGCGAGCGGGACCTTATCGTCTGGTGACGTCACAGGTGAACGGACGCCGGCTCGGAGCGGGGAACG